TGGATGACTAAAAACCTACTGAAACTTAATGAAAGTAAAACAGAATTCCTGCTTATTGGATCGAAAACAACACTTTCCAAACTTGACAAGCCATCTCTCCAAATAGGGAATACTGCCATAACTCCAACCCCGAAGGTCAAGAATCTAGGGGTTATTCTCGATGAAAATCTGAAAATGGACAAGCAGATCTCTAACATCATTAGCACGGCCCATATGCATCTCAGGAACATTGGAAGACTCCGCAACTATCTGAGTGCTGATGCTACTTCAAAACTTGTCCTATCTCTGGTCATGTCCCGAGTAGATTACTACAACAGCCTCCTCAACAACGTCAACAAAGATCAGCTACGTCGCCTTCAAGCCCTCCAAAACACTGCTGCAAGAATCATTACAAAGTCTAAAGTCTTCGATCACATTACTCCAATTCTAAACGATTTACACTGGCTACCTATCACCGCAAGAATTGACTACAAAACTATAATAATGACGTACAAGTGTCTCAACGGAATGGCCCCTGACTACCTCGCAGAGTTACTGCCCCTGTATCAGCCCTCACGCTCACTGAGATCACAAAACCAAATGCTAGTGACAGTGCCAAACATCAAAACCAACTTTGGCAAAAGGTCGTTCGCTTTCAGTGCAGCAATGAAGTGGAACGCGCTACCGGTTGAACTCAAAACCAGCGAGTCACTAACATCTTTAAGACTGTCCTCAAAACATTTCTTTTCAAGTGTCAATTTCCATCTTAAGCGCACAGAGCATTTATTAGTGAATGATGCGCTATATAAATGCAATTATTATTATTATTATTTTTATTATTCAGGCATTTAGTTTTTAGGGATTTAATATGCGGCAAAAAGGTTAAATGGGAGTCGAAAATTAGACCCAAGAATTTGGCCTCCTTAACAACTTTGATGGGAGTGCAATTTAAAGATAGTTCTGGATCTTTATGCGGCTTATATTTTCTACAAAAATTAGTAGACAATAAGTTTTGGACTTGGAAAATTTAAAGCCGTTTTCAAGACACCATTTATTTATTTTATTTAAACACAACTGCAATTGCCGTTCAATAGTATGCATATTTTTACCACGACAAGAAATATTAAATCATCCACAAAAAGTGATCCATCAATTGAATCGTTTAAAACTTTTGATAAACTGTTTATCTTGATACTTAACAATGTGACAGACAAAATACTGCCTTGAGGGACACCCTGATCCTGATTATAATGATCAGACAGGGTTGAACCCACTCGGACTTGAAATTGTCTGTCTTGTAAAAACTGTGATATAAAAAGAGGCAAACGGCCTCTCAAACCGAAATCATGTAAATCCTTCAAAATGCCATGCTCCCAGGTCGTATTATAAGCTTTCTCAAGATCAAAGAAAATTGATACAGCATGTTGTTTATTAATTATAGCATTCTTGACAAAGGATTCTAAACGTACCAAATGATCAATGGTACTACAATTTTTCCTGAAACCACATCGAATATTTGTTATATGGTTATTGGTTTCAAGATACCAAGTTAATCTATTATTCACCATACGTTCCATGGTTTTACAGACACAGCTAGTTAGAGATATTGGTCTGTAATTGGACGGATCAGTCTGATCCTTGTCAGGTTTTGGTATGGGGACTACAATGGCATTACGCCACGAGGGAGGAAAATTTCCGGACGTCCATATTTTGTCAAATATATCTAAAAGTGTGACCAGACATGGTGCATGTAAGTGTTTCAGTAGCTGATAATGAATATTGGCATCACCCGCTGCAGTGTCATGAGCTTGCTCAAGAGCTGCATATAGCTCATGTAATGAAAACAGTTCATTATAGTCTTCACCATTATTTGATTCAAAGTTAACTTTTGTCTTTTCCTGTTGTTTCTGATATCTCTGAAACTCAGGGACATAATTTGCCGATGAAGAATGTTTGGCAAGAGTTTTGTCAATTTTGTCTGCAATTTTAGATTTGTCAGTTATTAAATTATCGCCATCTTTAAGATGGTGAACAGCAGATTTTGAACCTTTACCTTTAATTCTTTGAACCATGTTCCATACTCTGGACATTGGCGTACGTGAATTGATTTTGGAGAACATAGTTCCTCCAAGATTGCCGTTTGTTTTGTTTGAAGGTACGACGTGCCTTCGCATTGAGTATTTTAAATTTATTTAAGTTATGGACAGTTGGGTGATGGCGGAAATAGTTCTCTGCCTTTTTCCTCGCTTTTCTGGCTTGCCTATAATCTGTATTAAACCATGGTTTCCGTACATGTGGAGTTGTAGAGGACTTTGGTATACATGCATCAGCTATTTCATGTAAAACGTCAGAATAAACCTCAATAGGATCAGTTATATCACTGAAATATTCAGTTTTAAGTTTAGATGTGCACAAAGTTTGAAATAAGAGCCAGACCGCCTTCGAAAAGTTCCATATTGTATAAGATGTAGAATCAGATGGATAGATTTCTGAGAGGATAGTTGGAAAGTGGTCACTTCCACAGAGGTCATTGTGGACTGACCAGTCAAATTCATTGAGGAAGTTAGAGTCTGCAAGAGACAAATCTAGAGAAGAGTAAGTGCCAGTTGCAGGATGCAGATAAGTGCTTGAATCATCATTGTATATACACAAGTCATTATTGGATATGAAATCTTCCAGTATTTTGCCTTTAGAGTTAGTGTTTGTACCACCCCAGATCGGGTTATGGCCACTAAGATCACCCATGATAATACAAGGTTTAGGAAGTTGGTCATAGAGAGCTTGAAGATCAGACTGCTGGAGTGCTGAAGAAGGCGGAATATATAGAGAGCATAGTGTAAAGGTAACGTGAAGAGTTAGTCTCACAGCAACGGCTTGGAGACTAGTTGTGAGTGTAACAGGACTATGGATAACGTCATGCTTTACAAGGATTGAAGACCCTCCAGTGGCCCTGTCACCCGGAGGTGAGAAATAATGATAGGCATCAAACTGACGTAGATTAAAAGTATTTGTCTGCTTTAAATATGTTTCCTGCAGACAGAATGCGGATGCACTTGGACTAATAGATGTAACTCATTAAAATTAGTCCTTAATCCTCTACAATTCCACTGTACTATATTTTTGGAATACATTATCTTTTTTGTGGGTTGACTGGGGATCTATCCCGCACGGTTTTCGAGGGCGACCAACTATGTGCCCTGGAATGGATGGTGTCAGACACTTCCATATCCTCCATTGATCCAAATCTATTAAACAATTTGATCTTATCATCTGACCCTTTATGAGCTCGAGTTGGTTTCGAAGGTTCTGTTCTAGTTTTGGTTTTCGATTTTACTGTTTGTTTTTCATTCTTCTTTTCACACTGAGATCGAGACTGAGAAGGAGGAGATATGTTTCGCTGTGTAGAAGGTGGTGTTGTCTGAGTGGACTGTTCAGGAAAGATAGATTTGGGATGTTCTGTATTCACCCATGTCAAGTCAGTCTGACATGAGCTTGATGAAGTGATTACTAGTGAAGTAGTTCCTTTTGAGGACGATTCAGGAGTTTTGGTGACGGAGGCGTAAGTCTCAGTGAGGTCAGTGGACTGTACAATTGTTTTTGGCTTCTGCAAAACTGACGTTTCTGGAAAATTTGACTTTGTTAATTTCCATTTGCTTTTTCCAAATGGGACATTCTTTAGAAAAAGACAAATGAGGTCCGAAACAGTTTGCACATTTTTTAGAAATACTATCACAATCTTCTGTTACATGTGTATTCTCAGCACAGTGAGCACATGTAACAGACAATGTGCAAGTATTAACACCATGTCCGTATTTCTGACACTTGAAGCAGCGCAGAGGATTTGGAATGTATACATCAACGTTCAGATTGCAATAACCTGCCTTGACTGACTTTGGAGGAAGTGGTGCAGAAAATGAATACAGGTAGGTGTTTGTTTGAATAATCTCATTATTATTCCGGGTTGTAAACCTTTTGACGAATGAAACTCCTTGGTCTTTCATCTCGGATACAATATCGACCTCAGTCATGTCTGCAAATAGATGATCTCGATCTCTAACAATACCTTTGCGGGTGTTTAACGTTGTGTGAGCTGACACCAGAACCGGGACTCCAGTGAACACATCAATTGATAGCAGGCTGGTTGCTTGTTACTCTCTGTTACATTCGATTAACAGCAATCCTGTACGCAAGCGTTTGATGTTTTTAACTTCTCCTGCTATTCCAGAGACACCGTTACAAATTGCAAAAGGGTTTAGTTTTAATGGAGTCTTGTCAAGAGTCTCGATAACCAAAAATCGTGGCCAATAATCGATAGATATGGAGGGTCGTTGCTGATCATCGTTTTCAAGTGGACGTTTGGTTTTCTTGTTAGGGGTTTGATAATCCATGGTTGTTGTTATATTGGTTCGTCATCCAAGCTCCCCACCCACCATAGAGTATCATATAGACAATGCTAAAAACAAGTGGATTTCCGACTTGCAGCACCAAGGATACTTGGATGATATACTCCAGCAAAAGAATTATAAATAATTACTCCACCAGATTGGCCCACCTTCTTGGCAGAAGACTCTAGGCAATTTATAGAATAAAAGTTCTAATTTGAATTGCGAAGGAAACATCATAAAGCCAAGACATTTGAGAGAAACAGTTAACAATATAAAATATTTGTGCACCACAATATACATGCACAGGGCTTGGCATGACCAGCCGATTGGTAGAACCGGGCCCATTCTACCACCCGTCTAGGTGAAGTCAGGGCCGAAGTGATGTGTTGGGCAGAGGAACACTGGTCCTGGCTCCAGTGCCCTCAACCACCAGAATCCCGTCCTCCACCGACACAGGGATGCAACCCACGGCAAACGGGTTGGTGGACCAAATATCCCCCCGGGTCCACAACGGGGGGTCGAAGACACATTGTCACGAATCGGTTTATTTAGAATGTTAAAAGATGTCTATAACATGCAACCGGAAGACAGTGTAAAGACGCACACATCCCAAGGATAAATGAGTTAGTGTGATACCTTTATCCTCGTCAACATCGTCCTTATGTTAAGGATTTCTTGTACATCCTCCTTTGCACACGGATATCGTATGACTTGGCTTCTATCCCGTTGTGATCGTCTTCTCAGTATTAGTAGCAATTGAGCTGAAGATGTAATGCACAGAATGATATTGTGATCGCCCATCAGAATGGACACACATGAAATTCCTTCACAATTGCTAGACGTCTAAATTGACACCTAGCAGATATCACACACTCAGTAATGTGCCCGGTTAATGAGATATCCTGACTGCATAATAATAAGCTTCGGTTGTCTGGCCTGCTTTGTTCATGCTTGTTGTTATCAGGTGTCAGATGCCTTCATGTACTGGGAGATACTGACTGGCTGTTACATGATAGTTGGTAGGTAAGGTTCATTGGGACATATATGATCATATTACTTTCATGAAACTGATTAAGATGAAGATGCTTGATATAACTTAAAAGTTAAAATATTTGTATTTTTGTGAGATTTATTCATCTCGATTATCAAATGACTGTGACTTAAGCGTAATTGAAGTTGAATGTGGATGTGCTGGTCTCCTCGAGACAGAATGGACACTCGTGATGGGAATGTGGAGTACATGTATTCAGTTGCCGGATATTATATCTAAAAAGCGTGCTTATATAATACATTTGATATTTTGAAATGATTGCTGGAGCATTAAGTATCACTTATGAAAAGATAACCTAAATAACTAAATGTCAAATCAGTTACTTTTCAAAGCAACAGTGACTAGTAACTTTAATAAGTTGATTGACTAATAACTTAAACAAGTTGATATAAGAATATCTCTAATGCATTGTTAATGCAGACATAATGGTTTTTACGATATATATATATATGTGTGTGTGTGTGTGTGTATATGGATGGGTGGGTGGATGGATGGATGGGTGGATGAATATAAACCCATACAATAAACCATGTAATAATTAACAAAGGAATGGAGAGTCGTATGCTTCTTCTAAATTGTAAAGGATCGACACCGCATGTTGTTAACTAAATGGTCAATTGTACTTCTGTTTTTACGTAAATCACATTTTATATCCGTTAGTTTCCGTTGGTGTCCAAGTACCAAACTAATCGGTTATTTATCATGCGTTCAATGGTTTTGCAAACACAGCTAGTAAGTGAGTTTGGTTGAAAATTTGAAGGATCCGTATGGTCGAGTCCAGGTTTAGGAGTTGGAACAGTTATAGCATCACGCCGTGAAGGAGGAAATCCCCCCGATGGCCAAAATATTTAAAAGGGTCTCTAAACCTGAAACTGATAAGTGCTTCAGGAGTTGATAATATACGTTATTAGCTCTGGTGTCATGAGTATATTCAAAAGCTTTATTAAGTTCACCAGTAACTTCAATATTTGCAAAAGTAGTACACTTTAAAAGATTGGTAGCTTGTTGTTTCCTTAAATTCTCAACCAAAAGAGAGCCGCCCGGAAGCCTTGAAACATTTTCATTCCTTACCACAGACACATTCAACAGCTTTACAGTTAGCAACGAGATTTAATTTCAAAGTAAGGTTATTTCTTGATTCAACTACTAGAAGCCGTTCCCAAGAATTGGAGTTTTGTCTGGCATACGACTCTGTGAACATGTTTATAAAAAAAGTTTCATGAATCGTATTATTTTTCTATATTCAATGGTGCCAAGAAATTGGAACATGAATGCATTGCATGCATTGGGCATGTCTTGACCAGCCGATTGATAGAACCCATTCTACCACCCGTCTATGTGAAGCTAGGGTCGAATTGGCCTTTTGGGCAAAGGAACACTGTTCATGGAACCAGTGCCATCAACCACCAGAATCCCTTCCTCCACTAACACCAAGGTGCAACCCACGGCAAACGGAAGGCCCTGTTGTGTGGCCACATGCTGCCCCGAGTCCGCACGGGTGAAGGCCGATTAGCATTACCCAGCCTCCACCAGGAGGAGGTTGCTCTTCACGAGTGCTTCACACATAGATGGATAAGAAATAGTTTATCATTTAAGTCATATTGATACTCTCCATTGCAACTATTTCAATGAAACGTGGCATCAATTACGATGGACGTGGTCATGTTGACACACTCAAAGTTAAGTCACACTAACCTACATTCAACGAATCAGTGATTCCAGAGCTGCCAGTACAGACAATACAAAAGACACAAAATTTCCAGTTTGCAGCAAAAACAAATTTGTTATCACCCATATTTATTCTGCAAAGGCAAGCAGTTTGTGAACATTTGAAATGTAATTAATATAACGTGTATCTGAATTATTGTCATCTTCACTTACAATTGTATGAATATGTCATATATTAGGACAGCTAACGACTTCAATATTCCTTTTAGGTGTTCTTAAATCTGAGCAAAATCTGTGGGGAATTGAATTTGAAGTTTAAGTAAATTCGATTCGATTCGATTCGATTCTTTATTCAGTAAAGACTTGGGCTATATGCCCGTCGTCATCAGTTTACACTTTATACAGGGTAGCGTATGGTTATCCATTGAAATATACATACATTTTACATTTACAAAAGGAGGCTGGACAATACATTTAATGTAAGTACAAGTAAATCTGTGAAGTCACCAACAATATTAACAAACGTTTTAATGAGTGCTGAAATGAGAGAGTAATTATTACTAAAAAGAAAAGAGGAAAACCGTTCGAACCGAATGAAATATTGGCGAGTCAGTGCAAACTCTACATAATCATGTTATAAAATCCACTCGGCAGGTAGCAGAGACGTTTATCTTGTCACATTGGAAAGCAGTTAGCAAATCAACAGTCGTAATTAATTTATTCGCTAACTAGCTCATACCAAATTACCCCAGTGATGGGATGCATTCCTCTTATTTCGATGCTTTATGTTGTGAAAAAAAATCCTTCAAAAGAAAAAGGACGAAACAGAACGTCACATATTGTATATTTGATTTGCCTAAACAGACACGAGACCATTATCTCTCACACCTATAAATGCGATCTAATCAACATAAGGTCATTCTGACTTTGACAGTCTAGAGGTCAGTTTCAAACAAAGGCTGAAGCTATTAAAAGACTGCACATTTTGAAAACACAAACGAAATATTATCTAACTAATTATAATTTAAGTCTCATTTTGCAAAGGTGCCGGTCCTCACTATAGGGATTGGGAAGCTGCCATACACTATTGGATGACAGTCGAAGACAGTCATTCAATGAAATTAATTTCCGTGTCCACATCCGTCTTATTTATATAATAAGTAATCACAGTTTAGTGCCAAACATTGTTTCATACTTATTGCCATAATATCCATTCTATTCATAACAGGAACAGTCCTAAATACTTTCTAAATATTGACTGTAGCAATAGTCAAAACTTCGTGCTACGTTCCATATTGCTCAATATTTCGTTCTCAATCTTTGACATGAAATATTCATAGTGAAATATGGCTTGTTAAATCAAACATATGTACATCTGACATAGATGGTATATGAATAAATGACCAAATTACATCCGTGATCAAACTATCTACCAATTATCTGCTATAATTGTTCAAGCACACTTTACTGGTGATTTTGTGTGATGTGCTGCCAAACAATCCCAGATATTAGATACAAGAAAATTGTTAAGTCCATTTGAATAGCCTCTTCCTCGTATTTGTCAATAGTCGCAAATTAAGAGAGCATGTGACTGATCTTCTCAAAATGAAAGTATGTGTTTCATGAGTCGAAATAGAAAACAGAAAAGTATAACTATTGGGTGTCATTCACAAATTATGTATAGGCGTCAATATTCATCACAAGTGCGGCAAGTGGTATCATACATTTCTACTAGAACTGTGTAAACATTATTTGCTATAATAAACACACATGGTTGTGCAAAACTTGACATCGGTGTTTTGTATGAACAAACTCGATAGATATTCTTATTGCATTTCGAGACCCTTCATTTGTAATCCAAAACATCTATTATAACTGTAACCACAAACATATACAAAGTCAACGTTTATTTTCATTTCTCCATTATGGTTCTGCCAGTACGCATCTTGTTCCTGTCGTCCCGGCAACAACCGAAGCTACTTTAGTTTTAAGTAGATTGAACACATGCATACAGGATATTATACCATGTCTTACTGTGTTTACGACACGAGTGCAAAAATGTTGGTATTTCCCGAGCGCGTGAGAGGGATATACCGATATTTGGGCACGAGAATAATCCCAAATCTACTTTCAAACATAGGATGGCTGGCTACCCGCCGTCGCCGCATGTAGAACGCAACGTCACAGAAGAAACGTGATGTCATAACATTGTTCACGTCACCATAACAAAATGATAATTTGCCCTAGGGGATCGTATGAAAATATGAACCCCGATATTGTAATATAGACATTGTAATTGTCTGTGTTGCATGTACATACTCGTAATGTTCGGTCACTCACTAAAGGTCCACAATAATGTGTCACTTAGTGATGGTGCTTTTTACCAAGTACTTTGATGGTGAAAAATAGAAAATACATATTTCTGCAGTGTGGTATCGTTCCCATTATCGTTGATGATAAAATCATCAAATTTAATCATGAAGATGATCGACGACATTGTAATATGGAATAGAATTGTCAAAATGTTCGTATTTCTGTTGCTGGAACCTTTGTAATTTCATTCAGTTTCATCCAGAACATGATTGACTGTATTGTAGTAGGGCGTGGCATTGTCGATATGTTCATATGCACTTTCTGTTGCTGTTTTCTTTGTCTTTTCATCAAGTGTCACATAGTGTTCCTCTCTCATCTTGGTCTTCAAGCGCTCCAGTTGTTTCAACAATCTGACGCGAAAATAGTTTTTGGTTATTTTGTAAAATACAACTATAAGATTATAGTAAAGTGCATGGAACGTTTTGAACAAATTCACTATTTGAACAGAACGGTATGCTTACTGAACAACGGACGTATAAGGAATAAAAGAGACTTTCGTTAATGTTCAAAAAAACCCGTGACTATTGGTAAGAAGGAGACAAAATATACTACCGTCTGATGTATATGGTTCCCCCAGTCACTGTGCAGATCAACAACACAACAAGGACAGCTGTCACTGGAATTCCCCAATTGGAACACTCCTCTATAGGGATCCGAAAAACAGAATGTGAAAACAATTAAGACAACTCAATCATACATATAGAAACTACATGCACTTTAGTTAGAAACCTGAAGTTGTATTGTGCATATTTTGTTATCAGTAGTAAGCGCTATTCTAAAACTTCTGTTTCAATATCATCAAGTAAGTCATGTTGGTTCTTGCACGTTTATAACATATATCTAATACAAATAATACCTATCACGCAAAACTGATGCAATAAGAAACTACAGGTTGGTAGGTCGAATCATCTCATTGCGTATGATTATATTGCATCGTCTCACCACTGTATGTGTCACGGGCCTTGAAATCCTCACACCCACAATCTGCTGTACAGTTAATCCCATGCGTTCCTACGGCACATCCTACAAGAAAAGATAAGAAAAGAACAAGCCTCGTGTTTGATATTAGATAACTGTCAATCAGGTGTCCATCACATCACTGTTTGAATCCAAGAATGTTACGACAGTATATTAAATCAATGTAGGTATATTATGTCTGTTTTTTGCATGTGTATGTCCTAAGTTACAAAGTGTGTCTCCTGATATGGTTGTTGGTAGCAGTTTACACGAGTGTCATTGCCTATGCTAGATGACATTTTAGATTGCAATGGCCACAATCAGACTGGCACTAGTTGTCGAAGTTCGAAAGTGTGAATTTACATAGTTCAAAGTTTGGTTTGGTTTCGTTGGTGCTTAACGCCACACTCATCCATATTCCAGCTATATGGCGTCGGTCTGTAAATAATCGAGTCTGAACCAGACAATCCAGTGATCATCAGCATGAGCATCGATCTACGCAATTGGGAGCGAGTCTGACCACCCAATCCCGTTACTCGCCTCTTACGACAAGCATGGGCTGCTGGAGACAAATGGCAACCCTGATCTTCACGAGTCATACCTCAATGTAAACTAAATCAAGAGTACATGGTCTCAGCATAACATTTAACTTTGTCACACTCTGTCATTTCTCCATGGAACGACTAAGCTGGTTCTTGAACAGAGCGTCCATCTGAACAGATGGTGTCAACGTAAATCCATATTCAAGGCAGACATAATGTATCATGTTTGTCCTTGAACAGTTTATGGTTTTATTAGAATGACTACAACAAGTGGCTACATATGTTATTGATTTGAATTCCAGTTCATTAACCATATTGACATATATATCCCTGTATCTGAAGTGAAATGTGCGTCATTGTTACACACGTTGTAGACATGTGCCGTCATTAATCCATCCTGCTGCACATCCTCAAGGGCAGGCACCGTCTGTCTTGTCACAGCTGACACCATCTAGACAGTTTCCACATTCTGAGGAGCGGTTCATACCATCGAAACCATCTGGACATGCTGTGAACACACAGCCTTATTGAGTGAGTGAGTTTAGCTTTACGTCTCACTCAGCAATATTCCAGTTATGATGACATGTGTCTCCTCAGTCAGCGAGCATGACCACCCGATCTCGTTAGTTGCCTCTTACGACAAGCACGGGTTGCTGACGGCCCATTCTAACCTGCATCTTCATGGGTCACAATCTTAATGAAAACAAAGTATAACAGTATAATCCTAACTCATACAGACCCACCTTGTAGACATGTTCTGTGACTCTGCCATCCTGCTGCACATCCTCCAGGACAGATGCCGTTTGTCTTGTCACAACTACTGCCATTGAGGCAGTTTCCACACTGCGAGGCACAGTTTGTGCCATAGGAACCATCTGGACATGCTACAAACACATATACATAATGAACTATGACATCGTATTTTAAAGCTTTTTCTACTTACTCTTAGAAACATACAACCCCACTCTGCATTCATGTCCCGCTCATCCACCCTGCTTCACATCCTCTAGGACACACATATATATATATATATATATATATATATATATATATTGCATAGATAAATAAAACAAGAATGCCTTTTCTCCAACATGTTTCTTCTTTACTCTTCAGGAGATTGTAGCGGTTACAGTAGAACGTCATTACATATATATTGTGACGTCATAATAGGGACAACATTCTAGAGCGACAAGGTCACAGCTTGCAATGGTTTAACATTGGTTTGTACTTGTCTATGAAGTAGTGTTCTTTTAAAATTCGTTTTACTTTGTCCGAATTTTGAACTTGATAAAAGGAAATATTGTAAATTTAACATCGTTTCCTTTCGCACAGACATGTAGATGTTCACTCAGTGGGATACATCGGGTTTCAGGACACTTTATTTGTTGTTTGTGGACACGAACCCGGGCTCTTAAATTTTCTGATTGACCAATATACTGTTCATTACAGCCTGTGCATGTTATGACATATATTATGTTTTTGCAAGAGCAGTCAAAATTCTGTTTTACATAGCATTCTCCGTGTCTCGTGAAAGTTACAGAGTGTCCTTCAACAATATGTCGACACGTTCCACAGTTACCTCTGTTGCATCTAGACACAGTAGGATTTGATAAATTCTGTTTATTTGAAATAAATTTGGCTTTTGTTAGTATCTTTTAAGATTCTGATTTTTGTCTTTTGCTATTTATTATTTTTCTAGATTTCAGCATAGATTTCAGTTTTTCATCTTGTTCTAAGATGCACATATTTGTTTTTATGTTCTGGAACACATTTGGGTTCAACGGATTATAAGTAGATACAAAAGCAATTACTTTTTCCTCATTGGTTTGTTTCATAGTTCCTGTCAAAAGATCTTCTCTATTAAGCTGTAAAGCTTTATATATTCCGTCTTCAACAAGAGATTTTGGATATTCCCGTAATAGTAAAAACGTCCTAAGTTCATTCAGTCTTTGATTGCGGGTGTATATATATACACACAAACTCATTGACATCCGTTCGACATCAAGATTGTGACTCACGGCGTTGGCACATGGTGTCATTTATCCATCCTGCTGCACATCCGTCAGGACATGTTCCCGTGGCCTTGTCACAGCTGACATCATCCAGACAGTTCCCACACTGTGAGGCACAGTTGATACCATAAGAACCATCTGTACATGCTGCAAACACATAAACATAATGAACGCATTGCGTAATCGTATCTTACAAGATGTTCCACTTTTCAGTTTGACTTATACAAACCCAACCTGCATGATACATGCTTCACATCATCAAGGATACAGATGTCCTCAATTAAGTAAGAAACATATATATACAAACGTTGTGACAGTGGTTCAACATGAAGATTGTGACTCACGGCGTTGACACATGGTGTCATTCATCCATCCTGCCTCACATCCGTCAGGACATGTTCCGTTTGTCTTGTCACAGTTGACAACATCCAGACAGTTTCCACACTGGGAGGTTCAGTTTATATCATAGGAACCCCTCTGTACATGCTGAAGACATTCCGTAACAATGCTGCAAAATTTACCTTCTGTTACAATCATGCAAATCCCCATTGTAGACATGATGTGTCACTCTGCCATCCTTTTGCACATCTCACTGTCAACCCTGTCCGTATGGAACGACTACACGACCCAAAATACTCCGCGAGCACATGTGCATAAAACCCCAAACATATATAACCTCCTTCGTTCATCATTACCAATCTGATTCACTTGCAGACATACAACAGATTGCAGCTGGGTTCAGTCATGTGTTTCGTTGTCACATGCGCGGTTCACCGGGGAAGCAAATATTGTAATTTGGACTATAAATGCAAAAAGATGTGGTTAAATTATAATTCCCAAATGTTGTAGACAAATATCCATTCATTGAAAATATCATACTTAGGCATTAGTGCTAACGTTGCAGACATAACACTGTGCTGTCATTCATCCGTCCTAATGCACATGCTCTATTGCACAAGAACGAATCGCCTTAAAATGGAAGGCTGGCTTTAAAGAGCACAGTTTTGCGTATTGGGAAAGCGAAATTATAATGAGTTCAAAAACCTGCTATTGGATCCCTCAATTCATAACTTTTGGAATGTAAGACTGGGAAAATGAGTCAACACAATCATAGTTAGCCCCATCTCAGTCAGCTGACATGTCAGGATGAATCACTTGTAGTCGTACCCACTGACAAGACTTAAAATAGCATAATTATTGTATGCAAGGCTTCTGCTTTGCTCGAGGAACTTTTCCTACAATCGCCAGCCGCTGAAGGGATGGTGTAAATCCAACTAGGGTCCATGCAGGTAGCAAAGGTACAGTAAGTAAGTATGGTGATCTACCTTCGGTTGTTGGCGATCTATGGCCTGTTTGTATCTTGTATTGTCCTAATAGTGCTATTAGTTTTTACTTTCTACACTAGTTTTAATTGTAATTGTGATATTCTAGTTGTTTTGCTGTCCTTTGATGACAGGTTTTTATAGTGTACACATTTTCCATTTCAATGTCAAATATGTTCTCGTCACGATATGGCTGAAATATTGCCGATGTGACGTTAACTATTAACTCACTCACTCACTCACTCGATAAACTTGTAAATGAACTTATAAATACAACGTAAAAAGGCAAAAGAAGCAATCTGCACAAACCATGCACAAGTACACAAAATTTTGATTTAAGCCACATAATTGGAACTATTTCTAAGTCCAACATATGTGCCACTAAACCCTACTCTCGCAGAAAACTATAATCTTTCATACCACAAACAAGGACGGAGAGACCATTATATTCTCACACAATGTACCTTGAAGAAAGTGAATTAATATCATGTGGATTCTTAAATGCATACATTTTCAAGAATGTCAAGATGGTTCACAAAGAAAAGTTGTACATTTGCATACTTGTTTCACATCTAAATCTGTGATTTTTTACTTCTTTTTCTTTTACTTTTTGTTTATTCACTTCACTTGGATATAGACATCAATTTTGTGAGCCTTAAAGTGAGAGACAACATACATAGAAAGGTACACTTACATATTACATTATGTGCTGGGAATAGTAGACTATGCAAGATCGTGGAATCACAAAGGAATGCAAAGTACTGCATCATCGTGAGATGAAGTCATAACAGTGACAATGCTGGTGGTATTACATCCCATTTTCTATTAAATGAATCCATGTTGATAGTTTTCGAACTAATATATTTTTCAATTTGATACACATCTTTTAATACTGCTTTATAGGTATGATAACTGGGTTTCAAACCCTTTATGTTCATTATATATATATGGCGTTTGGCCAATAAAATCATGTGGTTGAGTAGGCGGTTGCTATTGCAGCAAAATAAAATATCTAAAGTAGAAAGTTCATAGGTTTTGTTCAGTAGTCTATTAACAAGATTAGTGAATTCTTTCCAAAACAGTCAAATAGTACGGCATTCATGATACATGATAGATGTTTTTACTTAGCGAACCACACGATGAACATAAAGCATTATCAACCAGTTCATTTTAAGCAGCTTCCTTTTTGTATAAATGGCTTTATATATAAATTTATTTTGAAACTCTAGGAGTTTTGTGTCTTTGTTAGATTGTCTATATTGTAGAAATATAGTCTTCCAATTTAAATGACCACTCAATTCGCTGTCCCCTTTCTGACAGACTTTGGGAAAATTATTTTCAGATATGAAATTATCATAAAATAATCTTGAGCCTTTACTGGGGTTACTCAAATCATTCCAAGGGGAACATATTGACAATTTTTATTTATATGGATGTTTTGTCATTCGTATAACCTCTTTCCATTTTTGGGGAACACTGAGAAAAACACGATTTAGGTCAAGTATCGTACCCCTAATATCAAATTTTGCGTTGTTCTGAAAATGTAAGGAAATCATGGTCATTACAAATATCCTTAATGTGTACTATTCCTTTTTTGGAACCAGTTCAATATATTCAAATTAGGGTGGTTACACAGGTGATTTAACCAAATGGGTCGCATAAGAATTTCATTTGTATCTCTGCCTTAGCGCAGCACACTCAATAGTGAGTAAATCAAATGTCACAACATACGTGTAGGTCGTGCTTTCTGATAAGTACAAGGGATCAAAAACGTGATTCGTTGTTCAAAGGAGAACAAATAGGTTACCTACGTTTTGTGAATCCATATCAAACACAAATAATATTCTAATTATCTGAATCACACACGTGCTTCCAAGCAGCCCACATTAAGCGTATTTTTACTTTTTGTTACTCTCCTTCGTTGACAGATGTTTATAACTTAACGAATTATATTTCGTGAGTGAGTGAGTGCGTTTAGTTTTACGTCGCACTCAGCAATATCCCAGCTATATGGCGGTGGCTTGTAAATAATCGAGTCTGGACCAGACAATCCAGTGATCAACAGCATGAGCATCGATCTGCGCAATTGGGAACCGATAACATGTGTCAACCAAGTCAGCGAGGCTGACCACCCGATCCCGTTAGTCGCTTCTTACGACAAGCATAGTCGCCTTTTGTGGCAAGCATGGGTTACTGAAGACCTCTTCTACCCCGGATCTTCACGGGTCAATTATATTACGAATGTATAACTTGTAGTCATGATATGGCTGAAATTCTGCCGGTGTGACTTCACCCTCTCACTCAATTGTGCTCCAATTCAGATTTATGTGTTTCAGTATGCATTATCAATTGGAATTCCTGTTTGGATTGGCAAAGACAAACGAGGGAATGTTGGCAAGAAATTTAATTTAAGCATTGGGTGTTTTGAGTATTCTGATATCGTTAAATAATGGTAAAATAGCTAATACTCTGAAATCGATTTCCACACCTGAACCAGAAATAAAAGAAACCAGTGTAGAAGCCTTATTTAATTTAGATCCATGCAAGTAGATTCAGAGTACTATGTATTAACAAGAGTATATCATTAACAAAGTAGATGATTAGAATAGCCACCGGTCTCTTTCTGTCGAACACTATTCAAGTCGTTGGTATCTAAACTTCACAACATTACGATAAATAGAACATGATCTGTCAGTGGTGGCTTCAAACGATCCATTCTCAAAATTTGTTTGATTCGGTCATGGCGAGGATTTAGTTACGTTTATATCGCCATATGGCAGACAAACAGAGTCCATATTCACTGAACCAGTGACAAAACCTCATACTTTATATTCAGATAGGTGCAACATGTGTGATGAACCACTGCTTGGAAACAAATGCCGTTTCCTTTGTACTATAATGAACAACAAATGATTTCGCTCCTATCTGGATATTAGAAGTGTATAGTTCATACAATACGACAAAGTTTAAAAAATGTGAATCCACACAGGAATGACATACCAAATATTTGCACCTCACATATAGCAAGGAATTTTAATGGACCATACCTGTTTGGCAATCAGTACCATGATATCCAGGGAAACATCCACTGGAACAGCGACCAGTGATCTTGTCACATACATCAGTACTGTTAAGGCACCGGCACTGTTTGTCACAATCTTCAGAAAACCATCCGTCACTGCAAACTGAACATAGTTACACAATAGTTATCATCATTTAGTCGATATTGAAGAAAATATGGAAACTGTGAGCAATATCTGGTCGCCATTCATCAATGTGTGGAAGTGCAAAGTTAGCAAGTAACTACTCACTCGTATGGAAATCGATTTTCCATGTAAAAAAGTGAATTTCTAGCATCCCCATCAGATGATAAAATGTTACATATCAGCACTCAGCTATTTGAAAACATACCAAATATTTGTACTTCACACAAAGTGAGGAGTTTCTGTTGACCAGGTATCCGTATAGTGACCGTTTTGCCTGTCAGTGGCTGGCGGCAGGTGACGTTAGCTATAGGAGGAGGATGTTCAGTTGATGACCAGTTGTAGCACATCTGGCTGCCCACAAGTATCTCCATGCCGTTGCTTCTCTCTTGAACTGTTAAAAAATGATTGTAAATTAGGATAGTATTAATTGAGTTGTTTCTGTGTTAAATGTTTCATGAATATAGATGACGTGATTAGAAAGATTATGAAAGCAAATTATGTTGTACATGGAGTACATTTGACATTTGACGCTTCTTCGAGATCTGCTACTGCCGAAATGATGAATTGATGAAGATAAGATGTTCATGTATTTCTGTATTTCTGCAAGCGGGTGCTCGTTTACCCGCATTGCTTTTTCAGTCAGTGAAAGTAACTATTACATGGGTGTTTATAAATATGTTGTCTTATACTAGTATATCGATGATGCCCGTTAACGTTGCTGTACCTTACCGTACCATTTGTGAACAATTGCTTTCATTTCCTCGTACAAGGATACAATGAACCACAATCTTCTCAACCAGAAGCATGTACGTTTGAACAGGATATATGAATTTTATACTAATGTCAGTTATAAACTTAAATTCGCACAAAACAGGACGTTTATGCTAACGATGGATGACATTTCAGCAATTTAAGAATGTATATTCCAGATAATAGGAAGAATTCCGTTATGGCTTGTTCGGCATCTTACCTGGTATTTGGTTGGTCTTTTACTGCTTTACAGGGACAGGGGGGAACGTGTCCCTTGATAATTTTATTATCTAATGTTACATTTCTAGTTATACATTTCTAGTTAGACATTATTTCCGTTGCGGTAGTAATCCGATAGTGGAGACCTTTTCACATCCCTAACATAAAGTAAATTGTTCGTAAACTGCATGTGTAAATTTGGATTTTCTGGTACATATTGCCAGATAGCTGTGTTCATTGATCAAAGTGATGAATACAATGTAGTTTTTCAAAAACAGTTCAGGCTATATTCATTACCCTGGCATGATACAGCGGCTGGATAAATATAGTCCACCTAATTCAATCATCCCTATTATATATTACACAGGTTTTGGCCATAACAGGGGGCAGTGGGGTAGCCTAGTTGTTAAAGCGTTCGCTCGTTACGCCGAAGGCCCCGGGTTCGATTCCCCACATGGGTACAATGTGTGAAGCCTATTTCTGGTGTCCCTCGTCGTGATATTGCTGGAATGGAGCTAACAGCGGCGTAAAACAAAACTCACTCACTCAGGCCACAACACCGTTTTAATACTTAGCATACTAATACTAACATTATTTTACCCTGAAATGATTACACAATGTCAGTAACTACTTCGGCGGCGGTGTACAGACATGCTCAAGGTCTGTCAGGCCTTCAGTTGTCGGTACAACATTATTCTAATGTACCCATTTCAGCTCATGCCATAGCTAACAGAGAACTATAAGTCCTAGTGATTTACACAAAATACATGTACTTTGAATAAATTCAGATTCTTGTAACGACACGTGTGAAATATTACACAATGGTGATGGCCCGTACCGTTATAAAACGTTCAATTGTGAATAAACCTTTGACATCTTTTGTGTGTCATGGGCACTGCAAAATGTTGTAAAATCTTCCCTTTTGATTGAAATATACAACTGCATGTTTTACAAAACTTTCTCAACAGTATGGCAAAACACATCATGCCGTTGAAATGTCATTATTACGTTCTTTAACACCGATACATTGTGTTACAAATGGCACATTCGATACAAATATTCTCAACGATACCATCACAAGTGATGAAATTGCCTCTGCCATAAAGAACCTAAAATGAAATAAGGCATCTGGAATAGATTTGCTAGAAAATGATTTTATAATTGACGCTTCAGAAAAGATAATCCTACTTCTGACTAAGTTTTTTCAACCTGATATTAAATTCCGGAATTGTTCCTGGTTGTTGGCTCAAAGGACCCTATGGACCCAAACTCCTATAGACCCTTAACCATGTTAAGTTGTTTTGGAAAGCTATTCACTACTATTCTTAATATAAGACACATTTCGTAGTGATAAACAACATTTTATCCCCGTCCCAGTCAGGTTTTTGAAAAGGTTTCTCTGCTTGTGACAACTTATTTGTAATACATGTATTATTTGAACTTCTTAAACTTTCCAAACGAAAACTATTGTGTTTTCATTGATTACACGAAAGCTTTTGATACTGTATGGCGAGCTAGTTTATGGTATAAATTATTCAAATGTGGTATAAGTGAGAACAATTTGTCTCTCATTAAATATATGTATCATAATATATAATCTACCATTATGTTAGATAACCATATTTCAACTCACTTTTCATGTAACACAGGAGTGAGACAAGGTGAAAACCTCTCCCCTTTATTATTCTCACTTTTCATAAATGATGTGGAATCGTTTCTTTATAGTAACGGTTGCATGGGAATTAAGTTACAACAAGTAGTAAAACAAGCAAATAGTAAAACAAGCATGCTAAGGTTCATACTCCTCTTATATGCAGACGATGCTGTCCTCGTAAGTAATACCCCAAGTGATCTACAACTGTCCCTAAATGCTTTCCATGACTACTCTACTCAGTGGAAGTTTAAAATTAATCTGTCTAAAACCAAAATAGTTGTCTTTGGAAGTGGTCCCTCTAAAACCTCAAAGAATAAATTATGTTTTACTTATGGGGACAAACCCATTGAAATGCTGATAGCTATACTTATTTTGGTATCAAGATCCATCGAAATGGAATGTTTGTAGCAGCAATTAAAAGTTTAGTGGAAAATGCAACTAAGGCAATGTTTTCGCTGTTGAAAAAAGCTCGCAATTTGAATTTACCTTTAGATTGTTTGATATCAGCTTTCGATACTATGATAGTCCCTATACTAATGTAAGATTCAGAAATATGGGGTTTTGAATGTCTATCGATAATAGAGAAAACTCACTTAAAATTTCTAAGATATGCTTGTGGTCTTCGAAACTCAACTCCCAATCGTCGCCTGAAAACCAGAGTGTACTAAGTCACAAAAACCTATTTTCGAGAAATTCGATCTTGAAGTTTAGGACAACAATATCGTCTAAACTGTTCAATTAAATTCTTTCCAATTTTGCACATGCATGTGACATGTGAAACAGTATCAGAAAATATCAAATTATATGCTCAATCTATTGAAAAAAAATAAGAAATTCACAAAAAATAATTGGAGATAGAACACTTGACCAAAGAAATTCGTGGTTTTTCTCAAAACCAAGGTGTTCTAAGTGTAAAAAAACACACTAAAACTCGGCTTTATTATAATACTATCGATATTTGATTGTTATTTCTTTTTTCCCAGGTTGTATTTTGGTCGTTTAAACCTGTTTTACTTTTATAAGGACTGTATTTCATTTAATAAAGCAGAAATAAGAACAGAGTTAAAATGTTCCATTTCCATGATGACAATCACTTCAAAATTGGTAAATCTCAATGTCACATGATCAAATTGTGCTTGCTCATTGGTCAACTGACAACTTAGAACACTCGAAAATTAACAACATGTGAATTTTCATGGAGATAGAACAAAGTTTGTGTTTGAAAAAACACTTTTAAAGCTAGATAGCACTGTAAAAAGTTGCTAGAGTAATAGATTATGCTCTAAAACCTACCCCGAGCATACCAACTCTAATTTTGTCAAAAGTGGACTAAGAACACTCTGGTTTTCAGGCGACGCAATGTCGTCATGCTTTATGGGAAATTAGGAAGATCATTGCTATATATTAAGATATATAAAAGAATAATATCATTCTGGCATAAACTAGCTACAAACACTCTTTAAACGAAATTATCGACACTTTTATTCAATTTCATATCTGGGAAATGTATGATTACCCGTTCCTATGTTCATCAGAAATGTATGATTACCCGTGCCTATGTCCATCAGAAATGTATGATTACCCGTTCCTATGTTAATCAGAAATGTATGATTACCCGTGCCTATGTCCATCAGAAATGTATGATTACCCGTTCCCATGTTCATCAGAAATGTATGATTACCCGATCCTATGTTCATCAGAAATATTTGATTACCCGTTCCTATGTTCATCAGAAATGTATGATTACTCGTCCCTATGTTCATCAGAAATGTATGATTACTCGTCCCTATGTTCATCAGAAATGCATGGTTACCCGTTCCTATGTTCATCATAATGTTTGCTTTCAAAAGTAGAAACAATACTCAAAAACCAATATTTACAACAATGGCGATGTGAACTAGCGTCTAAGGCGAAAGGAAAATGTTACCAAAATGTTAAAGACAGCCTATGCTTGGAAAACTACCTCTTCCTTCCCAAATCTATACATAGTCCAATTCTTAGATTTAAGTTATCAAATCACAATTTACCGATAAAAACAGGGAGCTAGTACAACACTCTTAGAGAAAATAGACTCTGTAAACCTTGCGATTCTCCGTCTGTTGGGGACGAATTCCATTACTTTTTTAAATGTGAAGCTCTTCTCCAACAGCGGATGATGTATATTCCAAATTATTTCTATGAATGGCCTTATCTGTTTAAACTTAAACGGCTATTTTCAATAAAGAAAACAAAACATTTGGAAAACCTCGCTAAATTTTGAAATGCCTTGTCAAATGCACTGAAATTGTAAACGAACTGCTACGTAACAGATGTCTTAACACAGTAGATCTTCAGACAGAAGAATGGAGGGTCAGTCATGGTTTGGAAAGGGATAACTCCTACTAGACGTGCTCCACTGCACGTGGGCGACGGGAATCTCAGCGAATAACGTTAACGTTAACGTTATCGTGACGAGATTCTGGCTCCTATAGCAGTACCATTTCTGCAAGCTATGCATGACTTTTGTGGTCGTCCCTCAAGACAACAACGCTAGGCCCCATGGGGCCAGGATTGTCACGGAATTCCTTAGGCAGCATTGTGTAGAGCGGCGAGCACGCTCGCCAGACCTCAACCCATTTGAGCATGTCTGAGATGAATTCGGTTGACGTGTGTACACACGTCACCCAACACCAGTGGATCTCCCAGGACTCCGTAGAGATCTAGTAGAGGAATGGAATGCGATTCCACAAGCTTTTATTATTTGATGTGGAGCATGGGAACACCTGGGACTTGGACGCGCGAGGAGGGTACATAAGATATTGAATGACAATCAATCTCAACACTTTGTCACAAATCAAATGTCAATTAACTTCTTATTCAGTTAGCTTTCTAAGGTTTCGAATTTAGCTGTACAAGTTAAGTTTGTCAATGGAAGGGCGATTGTTTTCATTCCCTAGATGTTCAAAAAGAGACCCTTTCTTGCAGTGTCCTATTTTGTCACCCTTAAATATCTTCTCGGTATATGTGTACTCACGCCTGTCACGGATATAGAGTCTGATGTGGTGTATCTTCTCTGGAACTGAAGTGTTCAGGTTCACAGTCCAGGTGGGATTTATCTCTTGCCCTGTATGAGCACATGTCCATGGCAAACTCGTGACATTTGTGGTGGCTCTGCCGTCTACTCCAAGTCTTGCTCTATACTTATCTCTTTGATTCCAGACAGTGCTACTCTGGCTGCTAAATCTCCGCAAAGCTATGTTTTCTGAAATATATACAACTGAATGTTTTACAAGCTTTCTTAACAGCATGGAAAAACATATTCGTACAGTTTGGCACACTGTCAAAACCGGCATAAAATTTTGGTCCCGCCATTTTACAACGATATTATGATCATTAAACGTTGCCTAATCCGGCACCTGTCTATTCCGCATTCCGGCACGACTTTCCGCTCCCAACAAGCACTTATTATAATACATATACATAATCAAGTGATACATACATGTATATAAATATATATAATTGCTATCACAAATATCGATGACTTATGTTCATGATACCACATCCACCCATCTACCAGACACTCACGTTTCTGACAGAAGGAACCGAACCATCCTTCCTGACAACTGTCTGGACCACCGACCTGGCTACAGGGAGTAGAGGGGAACACGGCACAGGCAGTAGTGGTGTTACAGTGACATTCAACATCTGTTTGAAAAGAAGTACCTTTACTCGATTGAAAGTGATTCTTACTATACTAGGCACATATGAAACTGTGCATACAAAAATTTAAAATCTAAATTTATCAAACCCTTGTAGACACATAAGGATTTAAACTCAGAGATGAGTGACATGTATCCAACATGCATGCACGTGCTACGTTCCGTGACGTCAGTGGCTTCGTCCTTGAGACGTGCAATACGTTGTTGCACGTGCATTCCGGGAAAGAAAAACAGAGCAAATGAATGCCACAAAATATTGTCACTCTGGAAAGCTCAACCCCTGCCCTTGCGATCGTTCAAAAAATTAAACGGCCATTGAAACGCATATCATGCCAAGGCTCACGTTTGCACAACGTCATGAGGCCATTGGGATGGTCCGTGGGGGAATGTCTCAACGACAAGTGGCTGTACATTTCCACTGCCACCGGAACACCATTTCTGCACTGGTGAGACGCTACCAGAACACAAATGACGTTATCGATCGGCCACGTTCTGGACGTCCACGTGTAACAACGCCAAGATAGGACATATGGATAAGGGTGACCCATCTTCGCCACAGGTTTCAGACTGCAGTGATGACTGCCCGAACCATCCTAGGACTTTGCCGTATCCACCCCAACACAGTTCGACAACGTTTACTTCATCACGGTATCAGACCACGACGTCCCACCATACGGCCTATCCTGACACAACGTCATCGACAAGCTCGCCGAATGTGGTGCCGAAATCATGTCCGCAGACCCTTGTTTTGGTGGAGAAATGTTGTTTTTACAGATGAGTCCAGGTTTAACATTTCCCTTTGTGATGGACGTCAACGTGCCTATAGACGCGTGGGAGAACGTTAGGCACAGGCCTGTGTCCTTGAGAGGAATCGGTTTGGTGGTGGTTCCGTGATGATTTGGGGTGGAATAACAGCACGCCAAAGAACTCCTTTGGTGATTGTTCAGGGCAACTTAACTGGTGTGGGCTACAGGGATCAGATTCTTCGGCCTGTGGCAATTCCTTTTCTGCAACGTCATGGCCCTAGGTTAACATTCTAACAGGACAATGCCCGCCCTCATACGGCAATGGTTGCTATGGATTTCTTGCAACACCACAACGTTGACTTACTGCCTTGGCCTGCAAATTCCCCGGATCTCTCCCCGATAGAGCATGTTTTGGACGAGATGGATCGACGTCTACACCGTCTTCCCCATCCGCCATATAACGTCCTTGACCTTGCAACAGAACTTGAGAGAATCTGGCGAGACATCCCACAAGCCTTCCTTGCACGTTTGATAGGCTCTATGCGTCGTCGATGCACTGCTGTTCTCAATGCCGATGGTGGACATACCCGTTATTGAGCTTGTGACATGGTCGTTTGTCGCCTGTCCCGCTTGTGGACTCGTGACGTCATTGTGATTGACATTTCAATTGAAATTCATCCGACTTGTTATGGTCTCATGATCCCTCCATTAAAGTTTATATGTACCTTTGACATTGTTATCGTACTTATCAACTGGGATAATATTTTGACAATGCACAGTTTCTTTATGTGGCTAGTATATATCCGATATTTACACTTTCATATTCTGTGAAGTCCTCACCAGTGAGTGTTGAAGAGACACAGACCAAAAGTAGCTCAATCCAGAACCAACCCATCTCGTATACCTGAATGAAAAACAATCAGAAAACGTTGACAATTGATCACAAAAAAGCATTCTTACATGAATTAAAGAGATTTAGACTTTCAATATTTCTCAACGAATTGTGACTTAGTCTGAGACACAAATTCGAAATATTCATGATATGCAACACCATTCCAAAGCACTTAAGATCTAGGATGGAAAATGGGTCTTTAAATCGTGCTTGTAGCAAGATGCGACTAAGTGGATCGGGTGGTCAGGCTGGTTGGCATGGTTGATGCACTTCACTTCCCAGCTGTATAGATCGATGCTGATGATGTCAGTTACTTGAATGGCCCAGAATCGATTATTTGCAGACTGAATGTTGGATTAGATATCGAGCAATCAAACGGAACCTAATATTCTATAATAATGTCGTTCCTTCAAATAAAGGGGGAGAGGTTGCATCTTGATCATTTACAAACATCTATAATGCATCTGGAGCATTGCTGGAGGCATTTGTTAGACAATAAATAGTATCCTGCGAGGAAACAATTCTACGGATTCATATCCCTGATATCCTCAAACTGCCCGTGGCAAATGTCTTAGTTAATGTATACAGTTTGACGCATCGAGTGGAGTTTCTGCATTTACTTGGCTTTTTTCACATGCTTTGGGGGCTATGAGAGTGGGCGCTCATTTTGATGACATTGATCAGACACACCTTTTCTGCGCAGACAGACGATTCAGCATCTGACACATAAAGCTGTATACACAGGTACATAAAGCTCTGTTCAAATAATGATTGCCAAATGGAAATATCCCATTTGCTTTTGTTAATGAACGTGTAACCAAGACAAATACTATATTTAACAACGAATAATGTTTAATTTCGTAATTCAGCATTAACAGTTAAGATTATCAGGGTTTTTTAAATGCAGCCGGTGCATTTCAGGAGTTCTGTTGTGTATATACCAGCGGCACATTGTAAGAAAGACAGGATTACATCACCCTTTTCACGAACATTTCTTATGTTCTATTGTCTGGTCCAGACACCGTTATTTGTCAATTTGTGGCAATGTATCTTGCAAAATATATGTTCCAAATATTTCCGAAAACATCTGAAAAGTAGTTTTACAATTCTGTTATCCTAAAAAGCTCAGTAAATAATGATGACTTTGACAGACTCTCTCGTCTTTTCTACTTATTCAGAATGACTGATATACATGGTTGATAAAATACTAATTTAACCTTGGACCATGCATTGCATAGATCAAGCCGCGAGGTACGTGATCCTGATCATCAATATTTCTTTGTATACTGCATACGTATACTGTATAAATATGGTCTCCGAGGAGTACACATGTTTGCACATAAACTGTTACATCAAAGTGTACATTGGGATGTATTTTACGCTTGACAACAAACTCGAAGACGTCGGTTTTGTGGAGCTTTGTACTTAGTTTACTGCTTCAAATATTTTCTCATTGCTTCTATAATATTTTCGTTATTTCAATAATGCCCTTGCTTCAACTTCAACTATTTAGTTTTTCCTCCAATTATTCCGACATTCCGAGTACTGTCTCATTACTTTGAATATTTTGTAGTGTTTCTGAAATAAAGTTAAATAACGAGAAAAAGTAACAAGAAAATACTCAGAAATGCGGGCAAATAATTAACACAAAGAATAACTATTCGAAGTACCAAGAAAATGTTTAAAATAACGAGAAAATAATCGATTAAAAAAACTAATGTTTTTATCAAAAGGACCAGCATTAATCCCGGAGATTGACCACTAATGGTGCATGTAATACTGTATTTCTTTCCTGTGTCGCCCTGACTGATCAATGAGATGCCACTGCACTAAAGTTTTAAAGTAAACACAATGCTCTGTTGAGGGCATACAAGAATGCAACGTGTACGTGCTGTACATATTCAATGGAGTAATTAATACACTTTAGACCTTGTTCGTGTTTGAAGAAAGAGCCAGAGACGACAAGGTAGTTGAAATATGATCCTGTATGCTCAATAATATGCTGTAACCGTAGTTATAATGATGATATGAACATGATTATCATGAAGCAAAATGAATCTAAACCTGAAATTATGACAATTAGTAACATTTAGTATGTCGATGATATATATATTGAGAAAAGTCGGCAACCATAGTATATTCAGCGGATCACAGTTAACTTAATGACAAAAGTACTCACAACGCACACGCCCATCCAACACGACCTCACCGTACGACAACCAGGAAGAGAATAACACGTATGACAGATAATGTCGCATGAAAAATACAACGGGTTGTCTAGTATGCATTGAAGATGGATGCAGCTTAACATTCATTGAGGTTAAAATTATTAATGCTGAAATGCTCGGGTGTATGACTGACTGACTGACTGAGTTTGGTTTTACGCCGCTTTTAGCAATATTCCAGCAACATCACGGCGGGGGACACCAGAAATGGGCTTCACACGTTGTACCAATGTGGGGATTCGAACCCGGGTCTTCGGCGTGACGAGCCAACGGGTGTATGAAGAACATATATTAGATATCACTCTCTTTCTCTCTACTTCATGTTATAAACATTCAGTTACAATGCGAACGTGTGCAGAAAGCATGAGCGCATATGAAAAAGTGACCCAGTTTAATAAACGTAATGCATAACTTCCTAAAGCATTTGTTCTTTTAAGATTAAACTATGCTTTTATGAAATGGTGTGACCCTGACGTACGTGTTATTTGTTATCACTGATGTTGACTAAACTATGCTTTTATGAAAATGGTGTGACCCTGACGTGTTATTTGTTATCACTGATGTTGACTACTCTCCATAACGTGATGAAGGTTTCACCCTTTACACAATTACGTGTTAGTTAGGTATTGCGTGTCACCTGAAGGGAATAAGTTAAAACAGAAAGCCACATCGGCAGTATTTCAGTCACATAACTGATATGATCTATGTTCTACTGATCTTTCAAATACACATCCTGTGTACGGTCTACCCTGGTCATAATGTACCCAAGATATAATGTCAAACTAGTTATAATGCCCCTGATAAGCTTTCTGATAACAATATTCCCAGTTGCATAATAATAATGCCAATTTTATTGGGCCAGATGCTCAATTTGAACAAGGAAGATGCAATGACCAGGTGAAGGTGTGGAAAGCAAGGTGACTTGTGTAATCCTTCATTCAGATCATCATGAGGTCATCGTGGTTACCGAAACAACACGCGCAACCATGGTCAATCATCAGTATCAAAGTGTGTCACAAATGTTTAAGTTGCAATAATACATAAAATGACTTGCTTAAACGAAAGTTATATCAAACTCATTGAAGCGATGAAATAAAATGACACGTTTTGCAAACCTATTTTGAATAATATTTAGGACATCTTCTTTCCAAGTTTCTCTCCTAAATGAATTATGTAACACACGGTATGAAAGATACCTTGAACTATTACCCGTACATGAACACTGTTTCTGATAAAACGTGCTGATTAGTATACATAGTGTATGTTTCTTCAACATCATCTTTTGTAGCAGCATCTACAGGAGCAGTATTTCTTGCCAGATAATTTGTCACCCGAATTACAGGTAGATTTTCTAAAGGTATGCATACAGCTGATTGCTATGGTCCGGCTTAGTTTTGAAGAACATAAAACAACTACCTGTATAGCGGCGTATGAAATGCTGCCGAGCCGAAAGGAAAATACAATTTAAATGGACATCATCATCTTCAGTGATATCACATTGATTTGACCAAGTTTCTTATCACCTGTTCATTTACCTGAAGTCTCTGAAGGGATATTCGGTAGTTTGGTTACTGTCCCCAGTAGTGATGTTGGCAGCTAGTTGCACACTTTATGTCTTATAGGTATGAATCAACAAGAAAACATGTTAGTTTGGCTTAAATAATTGTGTATCCTCTTTTATGATAGCCTCTCATTCTTCGCAGTTGCCGCCAAATGTCGCCACCAACATCAATCACTGTAGGGATAGAGGAGCTGTAAGAAACTATTGGATATCAGTAAAAGACAGTCATTCCTTGGGCCACTATATAACACATCACCCTTCTTTTTATAAGTAATAGCAATAATAAGCTTCAGTTTCTAATTTATTGCAAATAATGTCCATTCTAATCATAACTCGAAAGGTGATGAATACGTGATAAAGGTTCAAGGTTATGAATTACATGTACATGTAGCTATATTTTCATTGACGAAATATATTTAGATATCATGAAGTCTGGTAAACATGGCATCCAACTTTCTCCCGATGTAATAGAATTGAATGAGAATTTTGGTAGAAGAAACATTGTTATATTGAGTAGTTTTAAGGATAAACGCACGAAAGTTGTTAAATACCATGGCATATTGTTTACCCATACTCTGAATCTGAATAAATCTACAATTAATCTAGCGGGGAGAGCAAAGAAAGCCCTTTTACGACTTTACTATGCTATTCCTATGCTCTTGTTATTCCACCGACTATTTATTTCAAAATATTTGATTTTCAAATACAATCGATTTTACGATATGGATATGAAATATGAGGTTTTAAAGTGTATTATACCTTTAGAAAACCATTTGCTTGCCTGTAAAAAGTTTCTAAAGGTTGGTTTGTCAACACCACGTGTTATGGTTTATGGTGAACGTTTGAGATTTCCATTGTACTGTTTCAAATATTGGTTCTAAACTAATAAATATACTTGAACATCGTTTACCCATAAAGCCTATTATATGTTTGCACATCTAGATAATCTTGGTAAGAATAATTGGACATTGCATATTCGTACCTTACTATTTAGATATGGCTTTGGCTGTCTTTGGTTATCACAGACAGTTGGCAATGTAGATATGTTTATTAGACAGGTTCGTATGCGGACTATTGCTATGCTTAACCAGGAATGCCTTTCAACTATTAATGAAAGTTGAAGATATGATTCATATCGTCAATTGACCCCCTGACTTGAGCCAGAGTCTTCCACTGTCAATAAGTATCTCTTTTGTATATGGCCTGTGGCCTGTTCTGCAATGCAGACATTTATGCTATGTTCCAATTTCTAAACATTTCGTCACCGATCATATAACCGTAAGACATGATTTTTACAAGACAAATAGGGCTATTAGAGTCACACATATGTACACTTGATGTAAGTGGTATATGAATAAATGATCAAATTTGTCCAGTCCCGTGTACCAACTATCTACCAATTATCTATTAATTGTTCACCACACTTCACTTGTCTTTTTGTGTGATGTGCTGGAATATCGATCTAAGAAATTCGATACAAGAAAATTGGTCATTTAACTTCCTTTTAAGTAACATCAATAGTGGCAATGTAAGATCAAGCAGTTCACAGATTGTTCGAACATCTATTCAACCAGCCAATTGATTTTCTCAACAATTATACTAAACTTATCACTGACTCGATTTCACTGAATCTGCCTGTATGATGGGTGTTAGAGACTACTGCCAGAGTGTTTTGTCCTATTCCATGTATCTTGGAATGAGTATGTAACAAACGAGCGAAAGCGAGCTGTCAGATAAATGCCTTCCAGTCGTTAATACCTAAATATCATTTAAGAGTCATAACATTAAAGCATGTTGTTTTGATTTTTTTCTCATGTATCCCGGTGCGTGGTAAATATATCAGGGGCGTTATCCGGTCTACTGCATACTCCTCATGCCGTGTGTAATGATTTTATTACCTCCCTTGGTTGGCTTTTTATCTAATCATATGTCTGTCTGTCTGAAAGAGGTAGAAGGTGTTCTTGCATATATATTTTTAAGGTTTCAGACCTGTCAATTTGCGACAATTGTCTGTATGTTTTCTCCCAAAATCTGCGACCGCTATTTTTGTTGACACTGGCAAGCTCGGTTGTAACGGCGGTTTATCTGATTGGCTACTGTAATAATGCGGACCCAGCAAAGGGAGGTAATAAAATCATCGGGCCGAGTCGTAGATGCATCCAGGCTATAGTGGAGAGTTATCAAAATCTCTTTATTCCATTAATGAAGAGGCCACAGGCCTATAGTACAAAATATAAAAACAATAATGGCATACAATCACAATGTTTGCAAACGTTATTTTATTTGTTCAAAAGCATGCTGGATATACATACCAAGTTTACGAATATAAGCTGAATTATTAGAGTTCATTATCAAATTAAAGTAATATTGGGGTAGATATTTTGTCTTTAAATCAGCATAGTAAGGACATACCAGCAAAAAGTGGAACTCATCTGCAATTACATTTAGTGCACAAATTTGCACAATCTGTTTTCTCTTGGAATATTATAATATCTGCCCTTCTCGATCATAAGATCATGTGAACGGCATCTAAATCTGGATAATGAAACGTGGAATTTTCTAAGATTAATATCGTGTAGGTATTGCTCTGTATGGAAAAGAGATTTAAAAGTACTGTAAAAAGTGGATTTAGGCGACTGTATTAAAGATGAGTTCCAGGTCTGAATGTACATATCTTTTAATCTTTGCGATAAAGCATTATAAAATGACTTTGGGCAGGTATTCTTTTGTGACAAAAATACCTCACTAAAACCGCAATGATTTAGTAAATTTCTAACATTCGTTGCCCAATTTGATTTTCTGTTAGTGTCAAACAAATACATCATGTTATAACATTTCTTAGGAAATCTTGATGCAGGCATATTCAAGAGCTTTACCCCGTATTTGATAACTTTTATCTGTGGTTCTAGAGCTATCGTAACGTATACCCTGGAGATCGAGGATGGACCTATCCACACAATTCCGAAACCGAATTGAAATACAATATTTCTCACAGGAGAGGCCCAAGTAGTTCTACCCACATCATCAAGGTTTTTAAGCATTAAGTAAGGCTGATAAGGTAAACGATTATAATCTAACTGAATTATTCTACACCAATATTTTATTAGTTTTTACATATAGTTATACTGAAGTGGTACTCTACCAAATTCAACAAGTGCCATAACATCACGTGTTCTTATGTAACCTTAAAATTGTCTTGCTGAAGCTAGACAACATTCAATGGTTTTGCAATACTGTGTACCCCAAACATCATCTCCATATGAAATGATTGGAACAATAATTGTATCAAATATCCTGAAGGCATCAGTACAAGAGACAAAACCATGCTTTCTTTGATAATTATAGAATGACATCAGTAACTTGTTAGCCTGGGCTACTTAACAGCTTTGTGCCTTTGACCATGAGAGAGAGAGAGGGTTGAAA